AACATGAAAGGCTGGTGAATTTTTACAGTGGAGAACACAGGGAAAATTAGGATGGCTGCCCCTAGATCAGCCTGATCCTGCTAAGATCAGACCTGTACTCCTAACCATGAAGGGAAATGGATTTCTGAGGGAAGTGACAACCAGCCATCTGGTCCAGAGAACCTGCCTTAAATGGCGTGGATTCCCTGGGAGAGCAGCAAGCCAATCAAGGCAAGGTCTGTTCCCCGGTGGTCTTGCTCTGCAGTGGGAAACCCACTCCAGGGGGCTGGTCTGGAAGTGGGGGGCTGGGGCCCTCACTAGCTTTCCTCACAGAGTCAGGACGCAGGACACAAGAACACGAACCCTTCCCTCCCTCCAAGTCCTGGCAGGGCAGGTAGACGGGTGGGGTGGTTTCTAACAGCAGAACGGCCTGCAGTCCAGCGGTCGCGAGATAGAGTCTACACCAGAGGCTGCACAGCCTAGAATTCCCCAACTTCAGGGCCACTCAGACTTCCTACTCCTCTTGGCATAATTTTCAAATATGAAACATGAGCGGGTGGTTCGGGGAGTCACAGCAAACGAGGGGTCCTGTGCTATTTAGTGGGCCAGGGACGATGGTACTGAATCTGTGAGGCTCTGAGTTCGGTCCCCCAGGACAGAAAGGGAGGAAGGAAAGGAGGGAAGGAGGGAGGGAGGGAGGGATTTTCCTCTTCAGGCCAAAGTGAAGTTTATCTGTCAGTGATTGTTGGTTAGCAGTAATTCTTTTCACTTCAACATAAAAGAAACATCACCTTTTCCTCTCTGTCCTAAGGAGTTAATATAATCAAAACCAAGAAACGATGACAGTCTAGGATTCCCAGGAAAGATAAAAAAGCTGGCAAGGGAAACAAATTGTCTTCAATACATGGATGCCAAGCAATCTGCCCTTCCGATAAAACTCAAACGGCCAAATGACATCCCCCCTTCCCAGCTCACCAGCACCGAAGTTAGAGTTCCTGAAGCACCCAGAGTTTTACCCTTATCGCTGGTAAGGAGAGATTTCGGGCTGGCCAATACTGAATCTTAGGGGATAGTTAATGAGATGATTGATGTCTTAGGGTTAAAATTTCTAAGAGATATTTAATTACTTATATTTATTTTACCTTGGACAGAAAAATGTCCTGTACAACTTTTGGCTTTAGGGACCTATTTTACTTATAGAAAATTTTGTCAGTATATAAGTTTGAACTCAACAGAATACTGTGCCACTGGAACCATGCCTCAGCTTTTCTTCACATTATTATGCTTTATATCCAAGTCACAATCCACCTACTTATGCTTCCTGCATAGATGAAAGGGGGTCTCACAAATTTCACCTGGAACCATCTTGCCTCCTAGATAACGGGGATTACAGGAGTAAGAATCCATGCCCAACTTTCTGTTGGTTAAAATAGGGTCTCGTGAACGTTTTCCTGGGCTGGTCTTAAACTAAATCTTCCAGATCTCAAGTGGCTGGGGCTACAGTACAGGCATTACCCACCAGGGTGTGGTTTGGGGCTAACCTTGAGCTGAAGAGCTGAGAGACAGAGCCCAGGCTGAGTTCAGGCCCCATGACTGGCAAAAAAAAAAGAAAAAGAAAATGTGGAAATGAAGGGTGAAAATTAACATCTGAGTTTTAAATACCTTTGACATTTCCCAGCATAAAACTTTCTGTGCCCAAACTGTAGTAAGGAATGACAGGGTATTCTAATCTCCAGTGAACAAGCCAAAAGCCAGAAGTAGGGCCATGGCTCAAGTGGTAGAACATTAGCCTTGAACAAAAAAGCTCAAGGACAGTGACCAGGCCCTGAACTCAAGCCCAGGATAAGCAATAACTCATAGATGGATAGATAGATAGATAGATATATCAGCAGGCCCTGGGGTTTTTTCTGTTTTCTTCTTTTTTTTTGGGGGGGGGGGGGGGTGTCTGTTCGTGGGGCCTGAACTCTGGGCCTGGGCACTGTCCCTCAGCTCTTCAGCTCAAGGCTAGCGCTCTACCACTTGAGCCACAGCGCCGCTTCCAGCTTTTTTTCTTTCTGCTTATGTGGTGCTGAGGAATCGAACCCAGGGCCTCGAGCATGCAAGGCAAGCACTCTACCACTGAGCCACCTTCCCAGGTCCTGTTTTCCTTTTTTTTAGAGCTATGATCCCAGATCTCAGCCTTGTGAGTAGCTAGGATTACAGGCGCGAGCCATCGGCACCCAGCTTAAACATTCTTCCTTAAAAGCCCTGTAAGTATCTGCATCCACATTGACATTTGGTCACAACTGATGATCTGTTAAATATTACTAGTAAATTTTCTAAAACAATGTACATAGTTTTTTAATGTTAAATGAATAAGAAAACCATAAAAGCTTACTAATCCCAACCAGTTATTTAATTTCCTAATTTCGTATAATGCATTTAAACCTCGTGAGAGATATGAAGGAGTGGTTATCTCAATGCTCTAGGTTGAAGGGCCTGACTAGAAATATGAAAAGGATCCGCACTGAAGAGGGTGGCCTGGTTAGCACTCACACAGAGGCATGGCATGGCTTTCCCTCCAGGCAACCACAACTCAAATGTCCGACATTTAAATACAGACTTGGAAAATACAGGGAAACAAACTCTAGAACCCTAAGAGCAACAACTGAATACCGTTTGCAGAGCCTGCCAGGCTCAGGGGGGTCGAAATGGGGGTGGGGGGAAGGTGGCTCAGTGGAAGAGCGCTTGCCTAGCATGCATGAAACCCTGGGTTCCATTCCTCAGTACCACATACACAGAAAAAGCCAGAAACAGTGCTGTGGCTCATTTGCTAGGACTCTATCTTCGAGCAAAGAGAGGCTTAGGGACAGCACCCAGGCCCTAAGTTGAAGCCCCAGGACTGGCCAAAAAAAAAAAAAAAAAAAAAGTAGGGGAAAGCGGTGGGGGGGGGGGGGGGGGGGGGGGGGGGGAGATAAAACATAATCCACCACACAGAACAGAACTTCAGGTTGAAGGAAGTCTTCAAAATCCAGCATCTAACAGCTTGTCTCTATCTGCTGTCACTCCAGATCAGAGCACTAATTCCCCCTGTTGTCTCTCCCCTACCCCTTCAGTTACACTTGAGCTCTCTGACTGAAAAGGTCTGGAACAGATTAAAAGCCCAGCCACAAAATAAAGAGCACTGGCATGCTGACAAGCCTGTCTGGGACACACATCCACAGTGGGCCCAGAAAGGGGAACGAGGCAGGAAGAGAATTTCATGAGACTTTTTTGGCACATCTAATCATAAGCTTGTGTGTGCATGTGTGTTTCAGAGGTAGGAGTGGTTTTGTTTTTGTTTTTTTGGTTCTTACTGTTTCACTGAAAACATGCCTTTAAAAATCTTAAATCCTGATCTTAGTAAAGAGTTAATAATTTTTCATGAGCTTAAAATTTCCAAAATGCAGATGAGTTGAATTCATTTCATTAAAAATGACCCCAAGAAGCGTGGCCTCTGCCACCCCAGTCCTCAGAACTAACGGCAACATTTATTAAATTTCCCACCTCTCACGGGCTCCTATTTCAACTACAAGGCCTTATTCAAATATTAAAATAGGACCTGAAGTTGTGAATTATTAACATGCCACATTACCTTTTATTTTTAACCCTCAAACAGGTCTGGAAGCCAAAAAGACTGGCATTTAAGCCAGACTGGTTATCTGTCAAAATAGCCATCTCTGCCCAGGACCAACTTTGATTTTACTTTGCATTTTAGATTCACACATTAATCCATGAAGTTGACATTTAAGGCAAACAACACAAGTACTGTTTGGTTGAACTTTTCTGTTTTTTGTTTTTGTTTTGGTTGGTCATGGGGCTTGAACTCAGGGCCTGGGCCTGGGCCCTGTCCCTCAGCTCTTTACCTCAAAGTGAGTACTCTACTACCTGAGCTACAGCGCCACTTCTGGTTTTTTGATGGTTCACCGGAGATAAGAGTCTTAGAGACTTTCCTGCGCTGGCTGGCTTTGAACCACAATGCTCAGATCTTAGCCTCCTGAATGGCTAGGATGACAGATGTGAGCCGCCAGTGCCCACTTTGTTTTTTTCTCGAGGTAGACCCAAGAGGCAGAATGGCTCCTAGGACTGCTGACGGGGAAGTTACTTGGTGTAGCCGCTCTATATGGTTATTTCTGCTTTCCATGAGGCATGCAGGAGATGGCATCTGCAGAGTTAACTCCTCTCCCCTGTAAGGCCCATGGAGGCTGCGAGGTCAGCCTCAGGAGGCTTCAAGCGTCCGCTCGGAGCCTGACCCACTGTGTGATCGATGTTGCACATGGTTTCAGTTAGCTGTGTCTAGCTCAAGACGAAGCTTCAAAACCACAGTTTTTAGATTCATTTTCCATGGCTTTGGAAAAAGATCCCAGAAACCCAACTGAGGAGACTGAAACAGTGCAAAAATATATATAACTATGGATAAACAGGCACAGAGACCTTTAGGCACGCTTATGAAATAAACATGCACGCTCTGCTTTGTGCGAGGTACAATCATTTCGCCATGCAATGTGACAGGAACCTAGCTTACTCTTTTGCTTCCTACATTTTTTAAAAGGGAAGACGCCTTTGCTATGGAGGGAAAAAAGCCAAGGGCTGCCCCACCCCCGCTACCACCTAGAGCGGGACCTCGCTTCACCATTTATCACCAGCCCTGGATGGTGCTCATCCCTCTGAGTTAAGATCAGGTCATTGAAAGCCAGTATTCCAGGTTTTCCATGTGGCCCAACAGCCTGGTTTTGTACAAGGTCACTGTGCTTCCCACACAACCAAGAGGAGCAGGGGTTCTGGTCTGTCAGCTGTTACAGCATCCCCCTCTCCGCCCAGACTGACAAGCCGACTTAGAGCTCAGTGTCTCAAGTTTAAATGAAGAGGTTTGAAAAAAAAAACAAAACAGTACTTGGGAAAGTTGGAAAGGCAGTCATTTTGTAGAACTACATAACTATGTAACCACATTTAAACGCACTTTCCAAAATTCACACACTCAAGAATTTGAAATGAACCTTTACCAAAGCGAGGGTCGATCCTGGGGTCCAGCCAGGAGGTGGTCTTGTCCTTGTGGTTGATGTAGTAAATCTCTCCATCCTGAGTGGTGGCTTGCTCCCAGCCATCAGGTAGAGGGCCTGTAACACCAGAGGAAAAGAATCATGGTTAGTTTTCCATTATTGTTACCTAAAAACAGGGAAGGGTACAAATTGAAACACAAAACACCTCTAGATGCACAACAATGCATGGGACAGATTTTAGCTTGTATTCAGAGGAGAGATACACTTATATACCTGATTCTTCTCCTCAGAGAGGAGACCGAAGAACAATAAAACCCACATCCCCCAAAGACACAAACAAAAATCACACTTCACCTACGACTGCCACCTTCCTCTTATTTCTACTATGTATGTGACTGGCCCCCACCCACCACGAAAACTGCAATACACTATCATTCCCCACCCCCAAAAACTTAGTGGAGATGGTGGGAAGTGGGTCTGTGGATAGAATTTTCAGCTTGCTGGAGTGTGGGAGACGGGCATGGAACAGGAAAGTTTTGCAAGGCAAGTGTCTCAAGAAGTGAAAGGAAGCCGGGCGTCGGAGGCTCACGCCTATAATCCTAGCTACTCAGGAGGCTGAGATCTGAGGATCGCGGTTCAAAGCCAGCCCGGGCAGGAGAGAAGGTGAGACTCCTATCTCCAATAAACCACCAGAAAACCGGAAGTGGCGCTATAGCTCAAGTGGTAGAGCGCTCGCCTTGAGCTGAAGAGCTGAGGGACAACGCCCAGGCCCAGAGTTCAAGCCCCACAACCGACCAAAAAAAAAAAAAAAAAGAGAAGTGAAAGGAGGTGCCATTTTGAAGCTACAGAATAATATAAAATGGACAGTTAGCACTTGGGAGTATTTTTCTACTTTCATGAGGATGCGGAAGCCAGGGATTGGTTTCAGGGAGATGAGGTCCAAAATAACGAAGTATTGGGACACTCCCACCAGAAACACGGAACTCTGAAATTGGACAGTAGCATTGCTTCTACCCTTGTGAAAATGGCTCAAGTTTAAAACGATTTTGAAAGCCGTGTTCACCACTTAAGAACGCCAAACTCCTAAGACACAAATGTGACTACCCCATGAGCAAGTCCACAGCAGCCCCGGTTCAATCCCAGACACCAATAACCCTAGCTGCTTCCAAGCTGGGGTCAGGAAGATCCCAGTTCAAGACCAAGCTGGCGATTCATGCAAGATCCATCAGCCAGCAGCAGGGGCGCTGAGCTGCCGCCGCCATCCCAACATGGGAGTGTAAGAGCAGAGACGTCTCCACACTCTCTCTCTACAGAGCTGGATGTGGTGCCTGTTGTCCCAGCGAAGAATTAGCCCCGCACAGGCTGGGACAGAAGTACAGCCAGGCTTACGTGGCTCACACCTGTCATCCTAGCTACTCAGGAGGCTGAAATCTGAGGATTGCGGCTCAAAGCTAGCCCAGGCAGGAAAGTCCACAGGATGAACTTCCATTTACTAAAAAGCCGGGAATTTGAGCTGTGGCTAAAAGTGGTAGAGCACAAAACCTCAGGGACAGTGCCCGAGCCCTGAGTTCAAACCCTTGGACTGGCATCAAAAAAAACGCAAAACCTAAATCCAACAGTGTAAAAGGGGCTGGAAGCGTGGGCTCCTGAGTTCAAACACCAATAAAAAGAAGGGAGAAGGGGAAGAAAAACAAAACTTTCCATCCTTTAATTAAGTAAAAGGACCGATGGATAACATGGGACTACTATTACTATAACAGCATTTCTCCCAACTCATAGACAACCTTTAGACTAGTCAATAAATTTTTCATCCAAATTCACTTTTTGCTACTGGAGTGACACATTGGGTTTTTCAAGGCTGAACTGCCATACCCTGGTCCTTACACGAAAACCTTTATAACATTTTAAGAAACAAAGGAGGGCCAGGCACCGGTGGCTCACGCCTGTCATCCTATCTACTCAGGAGGCTGAGATCTGAGGATAGCGGTTCAAAGCCAGACTGGGCAGGAAAGTCCATGAGACTCTGATCTCCAATAAACCACTAGAAAACTGGAAGTGGCACTGTGGTTCAAGCAGTAGAGCGGTTACCTTGAGCTGAAGAGCACAAGGACAGCGCCCAAGCCCAGAGTTCAAGCCCCATGACCGACAAAAAACAAAAGAGGGCTGGGAATGTGGCTCAGTGGTAGAGTGCTTGTCTGGCATGCACGAAGCCCTAGGTTCGATTCCTCAATGCCACGTACATAGAAAAGGCCAGAAGTGGAACTCAAGTTCAAGTGGTAGAGTGCTATCCTTGAGTGAAAGCTAAAGGACAATGCCAGGCCCTGAGTTCAAGCCACAGGGCTGGCAAGAGAGAGAGAGAGAGAGAGAGAGAGAGAGAGAGAGAGAGAGAGAGAGAGAGAGAGAGAGAAAGAGAGAGAGAGAGAGAGAGAGAGAGAAGGGGGGTGAGATATAAAGCACGTGAGAAATTAGAATTTGGGTAAACAGAAGGAAGTAGTGTGCTATCATTAAACAATGGTTACAATTATTTATCCTTAGGGAAGATACCTTTCTAGACGGGATATAGGAACACAGCCTGACTGACAACCCATCTACCACAGCCAGCACTCACTTCCTGCAATATTTTCAGAACAAACAAAATACTCTGTCGTAATCTGAGGGTGACTGGACATCCACTCCTGATCTTGCCTAAGAATGCTTGCATTAGTAATAACTAACTAAAACCACCTGCAATGTCTAATCAAACAGGAAAGTCTTGATCACAAGGGCGGAGTGATTAGTATCTCCTCACCTGAAGTCTCCAGGGACACACAACACGCCCAGGTGACCGGCTCAAAGTGCATACAGGTCTATCAAGAAAGCCTTTCCTTAGAAAGTAGATTCAGTGACCTTTCCAGAATTCTGATCCACACACCAAGGTACTGTTCTAAGTTCTTTGCAAGAAAATTGGTAACTGTTCAATAATTTCATTACATATGGACAATTATTTTCCCCTGCTAAACACACAAGGAAGTTAAGGCCTAAAAACAGTTTACCCAAAGGATGGGAATGTGGCTTAGTTGTAGAATGCTTGCCTAGCATGCACATAGCCCTGGGTTTGATTCCTCAGTAATAAACAGAAAAGGCCGGAAGTGGTGTTCTGGCTGGGCTTGAGCAAAAGCAGCTCTGAGACAGTGCCCAGGCCCTGAGTTCAAGCCCAGAACTGGCACAAAAAAAAAAAAAAAAAAAGCTGGCAAGTAGCAATGACACACATGCATATGTACTTCTTCTTTATGTTCTTTAATACCTTCTAAATTAGTTTGGTGATTAAATTGGTACTTTTAAAAAGCACCTTATAGGCAGGTGCCAATGGCCCTCAGGCCTGTACTACTATCTACTCAGGAGGCAGAGATCTGAAGGTTGCAGTTTGAAGTCAGCATGGGCAGGTAAGTCTGTAAGACTCTAATCTCCAATAAACTACTGAAAAAAGCTGGTTAATGGCAGCATGGCTCAAGTGGTATAGCACTAACCTTGAGCATAAACAAGATCAGGGATGGCATCTAGGCCCCGAGTTCAAGCCCCAGGACCAGCAAAAAATAAAATAAAATTAGTAAGGCACCAATGGCTCACACCTGTAATCCTAGCTACTTGGGAGGCGATGTGGTTCAAAGCCAGCCTGGGCAGGAAAGTCCATGGGACTCCCATCTCCAATTAACCACCACAAAAAGCTGAAAGTGGAGCTATGGCTCAAGTGGTACAGCACTAGTCTTGAGCACAAAAGCTTAGGGGCAGTACCCAGGCTCTGAGTGTGAGCCCCAGGACTAGCATAAAAAAAAAAAAACAACTAAATCTATATTTAACATTTTAATACCTATATGAAACAAACTCAAGTAAATCTGAAAGCCAGAGATAAACTGATTACTTGGGTAAAGAACCAATAGCCTTGTATTTGAAGAAAGTTTGTAGAAATAAACATAGCCTCAAACTATTCTGAGGGCTGGGAAGGTGGCTCAGCAGTAGAGCACTTGCCTTGCATGCACGAGGCCCTGGGTTCGATTCCTCAGCACCACATAAACAAAAAGAAAAAAGCCGGAAGTGGCACTGTGGCTCAAGTGGTAGAGCGCTAGCCTTGAGCTGAAGAGCTGAGGGACAGCGCCCAGGCCCAGACTTCAGGCCCCACAACTGGACCCAAAAAACAAAACAAAACAAAAAAACTATTCTGAATGAACAGCGACTTAAATTCTTGCACTGTATCAGCTCATATTTACTTACACATGTATATGTATATATACACATACATGTATGAGGACATGTACACAATGCTCTACAAGTAAGATAATGGCACTAGTTGTGTCCATTTGCCGATTGCAAGTGAATTCTCATCTAATCTCCGCAATAGCTCTAGGGAGGACTTCATTATTGAAATTGAGACATAGTAACTTGTCCAAGATCCCACAAGGCCCAAGGTGACCCTGAGGATTCAAAACCATATCCCTGACTCCAAGGCCTCTTGATCTCAGCCCCAACTCTGCGAGGTCTTGTCAGAGGCGGGAATCAGGTTGTTCCTGAGACAGAACACGCATGGGAGGCCGTGTCCAGTGAAGGCACCCAGTTGCTGTTCCGTCCTGAGCACCAAAGGGTCTGCTGTCTCCAGGCCGGGGGGCTGAGGAGCCAGCTGTTCCTGAGTCAAGTAGCAAGGAAAGTTCCAGCACAAATGTGGCCTTGTTCTCCACTGTCAACTCTGAACTCTAGTATTCAAGTGTTCAACCCACACAGAGCTATGGAAGCAGACGCACCGTGCAATCCTGGCTTCCTTCTCTCCATGAGCTCCCCACACCAGCCACCACTCCACCCTCCAACGTCAGGTGACAACACGCCCTGCAGAGCTGCTGCCAGGCTCCCTAAGCCAGGGCAGCCGGCAAGGGCACAGGAGTAGATCCAGAACTCAGCCTTGAGGAAGGAGTGATGGGCAAAGGTGTCTTTTTAATGAGAGAACCTTGACCCTGACCCACCTCACAAAGGGCAAAGTCACGCGGCACCAACTGCGTAGGGAAAGTGAGAAATGAAATGCTGACACCGGGCCTCTTCTGTAGTGGATCGAAACAGAGCTCTGTGTGTTACATTTCCTTTTCTTCTCACTCTCTATCCTAAGGGACAGCCTTACTCCTCGTTATGCAAATGAGAAAAGCTGCAGATTCAAGTCACTTCAGAAAGAATAATTTAGCCTGTAGCTTTATGCAGGCTTTTTGTCTGTTCATGTGAAGTAACACATGCTCAGTCTGGGATAAGTATTTTTGGATTTACAAGCTGCTGCTTTCCTAGTGTCTTGAGGACGCAGAAATATTGCTTTAAAAGGTAGACTAGCCAGATGCTGGTGGCTCACACCTGGAATCGTAGCTGCTCAGGAGGTTGAGATCTGAGGATCATGGTCCAAAGCCAGCCTGGGCAGGAAAAGTCTGTTAGACTCTTACCTCCAATAAACCACTCAGAAAACTGGATGTGGCGCTGTAGCTCAAGTAGTAGAGCGCTTGCCTTGAGCTGAAGAGCTGAGGGACAGCGCCCAGGCCCCATGACCGACCAAAAAAAAAAAAAAAGAGGTAGACTAAATGGACCATGGTGGTGACCCTCCGCCCCCACCCATGGTGCCATCACTCCAGAGGCAGAAGATGACACGTTTGAGGCCCTGGAGGTCTCAAGCCCCCTGATCCTCCTACAAATGTAGGCTAAGAGCATCACTGCTTGGAGTCCACAGATACACACTCAACCTGAAACCTCCTGCATGGCGGGGAAGGTGGCTCAGTGGAGGAGTGCTGGCCTAGCATGCATGAAGCCCTGGGTTTGATTCCTCAGCACCACATACACAGAAAAACAGGAAGTGGCGCTGTGGCTCAAGTACCAGCCTTGAGCAAAAGCAGCTCAGGGACAGTGCCCAGGCACAGGACTGGCCAAAAAAAAAAAAAAAAAAAGAAACAAACAAACTTCATGTATTCTCTTCACCCTTTACAAAAAAATAAAAGCAAGCTGGAAGCTGACTTCCATCCAGAGCCCAAAGAGTAAAGGAGACTTCAGACACAAGAAAGCAGTGAAAGAACACAAAACCAGAGATCTGCAATGCTTGCTTCATAGCCAAAACTTCAGTCATGTCTGGCTTTTAAGTTACAGATCGCCTTATGAATTAACAACCAAACAAGTCTCTATCGTATAGTGCATGTTATTCTGAAATAAAATGTCTCCAAGCGAAATAGGAAGGAATGAGCAGAGCATGGCTCAGACTGCAGGCTCTGTAAGAAAATAATGACTGTTCTGTGCAGCGAGCTCCGAAGATGCACAGGCATTAGTGAGTGCTCTAGTGACCAGTGTCTGGCTCACCTGAGGTCATCAAGGTCTGCTGCACGGAGGGGCTGGTGGAGGCAGCGACGCTCATCTGGGAGAACAGGGCCTTCCTGGGATCCTGCCATGTTGTCGTCTGATCCATGTGACTGTGACAAACCAAACCACAGAGTCAGGAAGTAAATACTGTCAATGTTACCCTAAAAACACTGGTCTAGCTAGGCCGGGGACTCACACCTGTCATCCCAACTAGTCAAACCTAGAGGAGGTCATGGTTTGAAGCCAGCCAGGGGAGAAATCTGAGAAGACTCCTGTCTCTGTGAGATAGCAAAAGGCCTGCCTGGAGGCTCGGTTGACTCCTCGGCCCAGCAAGGCACTTCTCACCAGGCTAATTCAACACTGACCTCTTCCACCTTGTAAGTGCAAGCTGGGAAAAAATTACACCTGGACTTTTCAGTGATAATATCTTATAGACCCATAAGACAGTAGCCCGAAGATAAAATGTAGGGTGAACAAATGCAGCAGTGGTACTCACTAGACACTATGTGGAAAATGAACTATACAGCTGGGCACCGGTGGCTCACGCCTGTGATCCCAGCTACTCAGGAGGCCGAGAGCTGAGGATCATGGTTCAAAGCCAGCATGGGCAACAAAGTCCACAGGATTCTGATCTCCAATAAGCAACCAGAAAACCAGAAGTGGTGCTGTGGTTCAAATGGTAGAGCGCTAGGCCTTGAGCTGAAGAGCTCAGGGACAGCACCCAGGCCCCGAGTTCAAAGCCCATGACCAAAAGAAAAGAAAATGAACTCTACAACTTGTGGGTGAGGAAGGGAGGGGGTGCATTGTTCAAAAAGAACTGCACTCGTAGCCAGGAGCCAGTGGCTCACGCCCGTCATCCTAGCTACTCAAGAGGCTGAGATCTGAGGATCATGGTTCAAAGCCAGACCAGGCAGCAATAAACCACCAGAAAACTGCAAGGGGTGCTATGGCTCAAGTTGTAGAGCGCTCGCCTTGAGCTGAAGAGCTGAGGGACAGTGCCTAGGCCCAGAGTTCAAGCCCCAGGACTGACCAAAAAAAAAAAAAAGACCTGCACTCATTATCTGGCTCATGTAACTATAACCTCTGTACATCACCTTTATAATAAAACATTTTTAAAGATAAAAAGTAATCTTCAAATCAGCCACCTAAAAAAGAAAATCACAAAACCAACACTCAAAGACTTACAAACTTACAAGAGAACCATCTCCTTTTTTTTTTTTTTTTTGCTGGTCATGGGGCCTGAACGCTGGGCCTGGGCGCTGTCCCTCAGCTCTTCAGCTCAAGGCTAGCACTCTACCACTGGAGCCACAGCACCACTTCCGGCTTTTTCTGTTTATGTGGTGCTGAGGAATCGAACCCAGGGCCTCATGCTTGCAAGGCATGCACTCTGCCGCTGAGCCACCTTCCCAGCCCCTTATCTCCTGAAATACCAAATAACATCATTAAAATATATGAAGTCCAAGTAGAGTTTCTGTCTTGGAGCAGGACTGACCGGACATGGGCGTGAAGAAGGTCTGCGTTCTGAGCTGTACTGTGCTTGCCCTCAGCACACCACGGTGGCGTGCGGGTGTGGGCAGCCCGCCCAGGGCTGTGCTCGGGGATCAGGCCCATGTTTGTTGTGCAAGTGTTATTTATAGAGTCACATGCTAGAGGCTGCTCCCAACCCAGCTAAACCTACATGCTTAATTGGCTCTAGGAACAAAGACACATTGTTCAATCTAATCCTGCTTGGAGCTACAGTTTCTATGCCAGAACCATATGCTTTCTACATCTGTATAAGTACCTCCACTTCAAATTACTATTTTTAGAAGTATCAAAAGATCAGAGCTATGAACAGGAGAATCCCTTCATAAGGAGACAACAGTGTTTAGTTAATATTTTTGGTGGGAGAGAGGAGTTTGAGTGTTGCTGCAATGCCCAGCTTGGCCTAGAACTCACAATCCTGACTCAGCCTCCCGAGTCCTGGGTGTACAGGCATGTATCACCATGCCTGGTTGGTAACCATTTCCTATCACCAGGAATCAAGCTCTTAAATTCAAGTTTAACTGGGCTATCACTGAAGGCTATTAAAAATGAGCAAAAATTAGGAAGAAACACACTGGAAATTACACCATAACACACTGGAAATTATACCATACTGCAAGCCTTTTGTTTCTTGTCCTAACAGAAAAGTCCAGAAAGCACTGCTATGCTGTATGTATTCAGGTGGTTTCAAACATACAAGTACTTCTGGAAGATTCGTTGTAGATCCCAAGCTCCACATCAGATAGAAAAAGAACTCAACATGCTCAGTGATTACTAAACCTAACTAGATAGAAGAAAAGAAAAGCAATAAAAATCATGAGGCCAAGCTCAAACCCCAGCACCCCCAAAAGGAAAACGAGGAGGGAGAGAACACAGCTGGGCTTCTTTGGTCCATTCCCATAATCAGGATCAGATCACCACTCGAGCCCAGCCTGGGCATTGAAGTCTGAGATTCCACCTCTAAAAAGCAGGGCTGGGGATGTGGCTCAAGTGGTAGAGCACCAGCAGAGGAAGCAAGTCCAAGGTCTGAGTCAAACCCTAGCACTGACAAGAACAATCACAAAAAAGATGCTCCACAACCTATCACACCTGCTGTCAAAGAGTACAGAAGCTAATAAACATGGAAGCGTATTTCACTGCTACAAGTATAAGCTAATGAGAAATGCTAGAAAGAAGCTGTGGAAATTAAGTATTGGGAGAGTGTAACTGCTGGAATGTAAAGTGGTACACTGTGGAGAACAAACCAAACATGCAACAACATAAAACTACGTGACCCGACAATCCCACTTCTGGAAGTTACAATCATTGGAAGCAGAGGTTCAGCATAGACTGCTGTACTGCAGCCTTCTTCACAATCGCCAAACATCCATTCACAACCCAAACATCATCAACACAGACTGCTGTACTAATAATGTTCAAAGCAGCCTTTTTCACAATCGCCAAAGTTACAAACAACCCAAACATCCATCAGCAAATGAACAAACAAATCGTGGTGTATGTGTGCGTTAAGGAGAACTTAGCCATAAACAGAAAGAATCCAAGACTATTACAGAAAAGGACAGATATTGTATTATTCTACATACTTAAGTATCTGAGAAAGAACAAAGAAGAAAAGACGGTTACTAGGAGGTGGGGGAAATGAAGTAGGAACAGATTTCTATGTGGGATATTCTGAGAAGGCTACTAATGGTGGCTGGGAAAAATGCCAATGAAGTGCATACTTTTAAATAACTTACATGGTAATCTTGTGTACGTACATACTACATCTACATGTAGCCTATCACAACTTTTTCTTTTCTTGGTGGTGTTAGGGTTTGAACTCAGGGCCTTGCCCTTGGTGGGCAGGCTCTCTACCCCTTGAGCCATACCCTGGACTTTTTTACTTTAGCTTTTTGCCAGGTCCCGCCTAGACAATCCTGCCTTCCACCCACGAGGTGAGGTGAGATGTGCACATCACCACAGCCAGCTCTGCATCAGACAAGCTGGTTTCATTGGTAAGCTATGACCTGGTGAGAAACCTTCTAAGCACATGCTTTTTTTTTTCTTAATTTGGTCGGTCATGGGGCTTGAACTCTAGGCCTGGGCACTGTCCCTCAGCTCTTCAGTTCAAGGCGAGAGCTCTACCGCTTGAGCCACAGCACCACTCCCGGTTTTCTTGGCTCAGATCTCAGCCTCTGGAGTAGCAAGGGTGGCAGGTGTGAGCCACCAGCACCCGGCTCTAAGCATGCTTTTGAACTGCACACTCACCCGTCCTCTGCCCGCCGGCTGACAGACTTGAGAGCATGGCTGTTTGTAACAGCAGGTGGAGGGACTAGTCGAAGGAAAACCAAGGACCCCATGCACCCCGTGCTGACTTTGTAAACACAGTGGCCCCAGATCCGGGGCTGTTGGCAGGTACCCTTGTTTCCTCAGGACTTGTACGGAGTGAGGCAAGGGAATCCCTGGCAGGCAGGACAGAAGCAGAGCCACAAAGCCACAACAGCAGCAGCATCCTCGACGAGCAATCAGCAAGGAGACAGAAACACTCCCAATAGGTACAGGCTTTCAGCTTACTTCCATGAAGAAGGCAAATTTTAACTGACTTGGAGAACAGTGGACTTGGGTCCAAGTCAGGGCAGAACAGAGCTGTGGAGGGTGAGCGCTAGGCGCCCGCCCACCGTGGAATCATTAAAACCGAGCAGGCCTGCCATTCCCGAGGCTGGGGTAGCTAGGATGACAGGCGTGAACCACCGGCACCCGGCTCAAATCAAGTATTTTATAATGATTTCAGTGCTATGTAGCTACCCCAGATACGACGCCAATACAGTATGACAAAGACACTAAGTACACTCCTTACACTCCCTCCAGGGGGATCCTTGCACCCCCCACCCTAAGCCCACCAGGAGCCTGCAGGGGGCAGTGCTGAGCACAGGGATGTAGGGAACTGAAGGAACCTAAGCCACTCAGGTCTTAGGTGTAGCTGGTTCTCAGGGCCTGGGAATGTGGGCCCTCAGATCAATCAGCTAAGGCTCCATGTGTTTCTGGAGAGATCAGCTGCTAGCTCTGAGATCAAAGCCCCCACCTCTCTTCCAAGCCAGCCAACAACAAATTTCCCTAGGCTTAAAGCATGCTCTATTAATTTCACATGCTATGAAACAAGCTACAACTTACAAGAATTAAAACATTTAAACTATCTCAAGTTCCAAAACAGACCATGCCCCACTATTCTAAATAACCAAGGACAATCATAAACTTAGTCATAAAATTCACAGATGCTTTGAAAAGCTTCCTTTTTTACTATTTTACCAAAATTCCACAACATTCCTAATTCCTAAAATCGACATTGTAATGTTTTTCTTTCATTATGGCTAATTTCACTTTCTAAAACTGTGTCCTTTGGGGGGGGGAGGGGAAGAGGGGTGCCAGGCCTGGGCACTGTCCTTGAGCTTTGTTGCTCAAGGCTAGTGTTCTACCACTTGAGCCACAGTGACACTTCCAGTATTCTTGGTGCTTGACTTGAGATTAGAGTCTTATGGACTTTTCTGAACAAGCTGGCTTTGAACCACAATCCTCAGATATCAGCTAAGATTGAGGTGTGAGCCACTAG